CAGGGCAGGGCAGCAATTATCCTACTCCTGCCAATCTCAGGATGAGATTTCCAGAGTTTGTACATGCCTCAACCCTACCCTTGCTCCAGGTCTATTCCCTGTGGCTCCCCATTTCCCTATCCCTACATGTATTAAAGCAGAAAGGCTCTAAGGTGTTCCTATTCCAGACTTGTGCTGTGGTGAGGAGGCTAGGGTGACCAGTCCATGTTGTTCCTGTGAGCTAGCTCTTGCCCCAAGATTTCCATGGTTGCAGGATAAATCCCACCACGTATTTCGTAGCCAGCCATCTCCACTGTCACAAGCTCAGTGACAGTGACACTTCCGACCTCTTTATTCTTGAGACAATCATCCTCTTCTTGTTCTGCTCATTCCTTCTTTCTAGCCTCTCCATGGTGACCTCTGGACAACAGGTTAACATTAGTGACTTCTCTGGGTGTTTCTTTCATCAGAGCAGCTGGACTCTAAGATGCTGCATCTCTGTATCTGTCTCTATGGTGGCTGTACATCCCTTCTCAGGCTGTGGGTCAAGAAGTAGTCCACAGGCATCTCTCTGCCTGCTTGCCCGCTGGTACATCCATGCTGCCTTTGCTCCTCCATCTTTCAGAAGCCTTTGTCCTTTCAAGCGCATTGCTCTTTTGTTTTTGTTGTTGTTGTTTTTGTTTTTAACCACCTTTCTCCTCAGTGCTTCTGGCTGCTGGCTGGCCTCACTGACCTCTCAGGCCTTTCTGCAGATCACTCACACTCACCCTCCCATTCCCACACTCGGCATCTTTACACATCAGAATACCACCCTCTCGAATGTATCTTGGACATATATGTGGTTTGTGGTTTTCTCTCTCTCTCTCTCTCTCTCTCTCTCTCTCTCTCTCTCTCTCTCTCTCTCTCTCATGTGTGTGTGTATTTTTCCTTTTATTGAAAATAGATTTTTTCTCCCATAATGTATTCTGATTACCATTTCCTTCTAGTTCCTCCTCAAGTCCCCTCTCGTCTCAATGTACCCACTTTCTGTCTCTCATTAGAAAACAAACAGGTTTCTAAGAAATGATAAAAAATATATCAAAACAAAGTATAATAAAACAAAAATATCACATCAGAGATGGAGGAACAAACAGAAGAAAAATAGCCCAAGAGAAGACATGAAAATCAGAGACCCACTCATTTATACTCTCAGGAATCCCATAAAAACACTAAATTGGAAGCCATAATACAATGGATCTCAACCTGTAGGTCATAACCCCTTTAAGGGGCCAAAGGACCCTTTGCCAGAGTCACCTAAGACCATGAGAAAACACAGACATTACATAACTATTCAAAAACAGTAGCAAATTACAGTTATGAAGTAGCAAAAATACTTTATCATTGAGGTCACCACAACACAAAGAACTGTATTAGAGGCACACAGCATTAGGAAGGTTGAGAACCACTGCCATAATATATACACAGAGGACCTGGTGCAGCCCTGTGCAGCCCTGTACAGCCCTGTGCAGCCCTGTGCATGCTAACTCCGTCTCTGTGAGTTCATATGAGCATCAATCCTGTTGATTTAGGGGTCCTTGTTTCCTTGGTGTCTCCATCCCCTCAGGCTCCCCCACTTTCTCTTCCATGGGTTCTCTAAGCCCTGAGGGGAGGGATCTGATGGAGACATACCATATAGGGCTGAGTGTTCCAAAGTCTCTCACTGTCTGCATGATGTCTGGCTGTGCCTCTCTGTCTTTGTTCCCATCTGATGCAGGATGAAGCTTCTCTGATGGTGCTGAGAGGGCACTGGTTATATTTGTCTTTCTGGGTCAGAGACAGCATGCTCCACGTGATTTTCTTCTAGTGTGTTTTGTTTTCTAATACAGCTGTATTCTGCACTTATATTGACTTTGTTTTTATCTTTTTCTTACAAGTGACTTCACTTTTTGTTTTATTTTGTTTACTAATTATCTATTAAGGCAGTGCACTAATCAAAAAATACATGGCAATCTTATAGTATCTTATGAACTGTATTTCAGGATAGGAAAGGAAATGCTAAAACATACATGGGGGTTATACGTAAGAGCATTCACTAAACTGTTTGGCTTGAAAGCATGACGATCCTAAGTGAGTTCTGGGAATCCAAACCTAGGTCATTCGTGGCAAGCACTTTACCCACTGAGTCATGCCCCCAGCCACAGTGAGAGATTTCCTGTAATACCATCACATAGCAAAACACAAGACAGGTGAAAACCAATTGTCGATCAAGGCTGTTTGTAAGCCATGTATTCTGTTCATGGGGAGTGTGTTCTTGTGACCTAATCACTGTGTAAAGGATCCGGTTTTCAATACTAACTCATTGGTAACATCTGAGTGTTAAAGAAGATGCACTTAAACAACAGTACCACCTCTATTCCTCAAAATTCGATCACTGTCTGTCTTAGTTTTAGTTAGGGTTTCTATTGCTACAACAAAATGCCATGACCTAAAAGCAAGTTGGGAATGAAAGGTTTCTTCTGTTTACACTTCCACATCACTGGTCATCACCGAAGGAAGTCAGGGCAGGAACTGAAGCAGGAGCTGGAGGCAGGAGCTAGTGCAGAGGTCCTAGAGGAGTGCTACTTACTGACTTGCTTCTCATGGCTTGCTCAGCCTGCTTTCTTATAGAACCCACCAGCCCAGGGATGGCACCACCCACCATGGGCTGGGCCCTTCCCCATTGATCACTAATTCAGAAAATGCCTTATATTTGGATCTCATGGAGGCATTTCCTCAACTGAGGCTCCTTCCTCTCTGATGACTCTAGCTCGTGTCAAGTTGACACACAAAACCAGCCAGTACATCATCTTCATATATTATATTGCCATTTGCCCTACCAGTTGGATTTTTAGCAGACATCTTATTTTTTGTTTTTTGTTTGTTTGTTTGTTTGTTTTTTGTTTTTTGTTTTTTGTTTTTTCGCGACAGGGTTTCTCTGTGTAGCCTTGGCTGTCCTGGAACTCACTCTGTGGACCAGGCCGGCCTCGAACTCAGAAATCCGCCTGCCTCTGCCTCCCAAGTGCTGGGATTAAAGGCATGCGCCACCACTGCCCAGCTTAGCAGACATCTTAAATTTACCATAACTAACATGTGACTGTAAGTTGAAGAACACCCCCTAGAGACACACAGGGCCTCATCCTGAAACTGTTAACCTTTTGTGACAGGACTTTGCAAATATGGTTAATTTGAGCATCTTGAAGTGAGGAAATTATCTTGAGTTATTCTGGTGGTCCCTCTGTGTTATCACAAGAGTTCTTGTTAAGAAAGAATCAAAGAAAATAATCTGATGACAGAAGATTACTAAATGTGACAAGAGAAGAAAGAGGGTTGGGTGATGTGTAAAAGAGGGAGAGACAATGGGCATTTCTAGAAGTTGAAAAAGGTAAAGAAATATTCTTCCTCCAAGGCTTGAGGAAGTGTAAGCCCCAATAATGTCTGCACTTTGGCCAGGTAAGTACAACCCCAGAACTGTAAGAGAGCATATTTGTACCATTGCAGGCTACCTATTACCCTCAGGACAGTTATTACACCAGCCATAGTGAACTAACAGTCACCATCACCATGCAGATCCACATGCTAGCCCTGGGACCATCTGAGTCTCAGCAAATGGCATCCTCCTCATCCAGCTATGGCTCCAGAACCTTCAGAATTGTCCAGATGCTTCTTGTGCCCAGAGCTCACTTGTCAGCCAATCTGTCAGCTCTACCTGCAACATACATCCTGCCTCCAAAGACATCTCATTTACTGCACTGCCCTGTCCCCAGTCCTGGTCACCACAGTTTCCAGCTTCAATTACTGCTTCACTTCCTGCTTAATTTTAGAATACTCCTATACTTGTCCCTTCTGGAGCACCAGTGAATTTTCTTGAAGAGCAAATCCTTCAATGCCATTCTTCCTTCTAAATCTCCCTGGGGGCTTCCCATTATACTGCATACAATGCATGACATGATCATAATGGGGGCTCTACCTACCTTGCCCTCTGGTCGCCACATCCACAGGCTTGCGCTGTGGTAGGCATGCCAACCTCAGTTTCAACCTTGGCCATTCCATTCCCACCTCCTGGTTTGTGCACTTGCATTTCCCACCAGGGACGAGTGCTCTTTCCAGATCTTTGCACACAACTCTCCTTCTCCTGTAAGCTTCAACTTAAACTTGTCTCTTCCGATGAAACTTGTCTCTCTCCTCCCTTCTGCCAAAACAAGACCCCAAATGCCTGCAGCTAAGGGCTATTTAATCCTATTTCATCTTCTCCTAGCATGTGCCCACACAGGAAGACTCTGGTTGGTTTATTTGTACATCTTGTATATGCCTCTTCACTTAAACGTAAGCTCTCTAAGGGCAGGACTTCCTGTTTTGGGCACTGTAGTATCCTAAGTGCTTTGCACACAGTAGGCCTACAATTGGTATCCTTTGCCTTGTTGCCAGATGTGATTTGTCTCCAATGGCTCCCACTGCATTTGACCAATATAACTACAAGAATGTTCAGCCTGCCACAGGGGTCTGTATTTCAGTAGCATTGGCTATGGGGAGAGCTAGAGCAGAGTTTCTTCCAGTTGTCATTCAGCAGGACTGGGATGACCACAGGATTTCATTTCTGTTGCCTTTTAAAAGCGCATGATTCATTCAACACCTGCTAAGCGCAGGGCATCATGAATATGTAATACAGGGAAGGAAAAAATATTTCTATTATGACGTAATTGAAGAATTTAAACTGTGCCAAGCCAAGAAGGGGGCAGGATGGAGCAGAAGTAGGCGAAGGCATTTCATGCAGAGCCCGGCTATTTTGTGACCTTCTCCCTTCTGGTGACTCATGGAGTCTGGAAATCTAGTAGTGTTCTTAAGTCATGTGGCTCAGAGCTGGAAGGTAGATTTAAAATAAAAGCAACACAGTGAGACCCCCAGCTTCTCCAGTGCCAGTGTCTGTGTAAGTTAAGGAAGTGATAGCACTCTCCCACAGGTGTTGGCTTCGTTGCTTAGCCTTTGTGTTCTTCTCTTCCTGCTAGGCCTCATCATCCATGAAGGGCCCTCGGTATATCGCATCTTTAAACGCTGGCAGGCTGTAAACCAGCAGTGGAAAGTGCTGAACTATGACAAGACAAAAGACTTAGAGGATCAAAAATCAGGTGGCAGGACAAACCTACAGACTTCCTCATCTGCCCAAGCTAACATGCCCTCCACGGAAGAGGAGGCAGCCAGCCCGCCTGCCCGTGAAGAGGGCCCCACCAGGGCTGCCAGCCACCCTTCAGGCCCTGTGTCCCACCACCACTGTGCTTACACCATCCTACACATCCTGAGTCACTTGAGGCCTCATGACCAGCGGAACACCCAGAGCAGCAGCCGAGAGCTTGTCATGAGAGTCACTACAGTGTGAAAAAAGGCTGGGAGGAAGGTTGAGACCACACACGCCACAGGAAAGAGTCTGGGCCAGGAGGGGCCCAGGGAGCAGGAATGGGAGGCGGAAATCCAGCCGTGGGTGGTGGGCCTCAAGGGGAGATGTGGAGAGACAGCCTGTGGAGAGACAGCCTAAGGGAGAGTACTTATGATTTCCAGTCCATTGGTTCCACAGCAAAGGAAAACCAACACAAACTCCACAACAATGGGTGGGACAAATGGAATCTGCCCTAAGAATACAACCCCTCCCAGAGAGCCACAAGTAGCAAGACACCCAGAAAGGGGTGGGCGGAAAATGGTGGCTGGTACTGGCTGTGCCTGTGAGTGTAAGGGCAGCAAAGAGAGAAAGCAAAGGCCACCTGGGGGAAGAGCTTTTGTAATTTGCACCTCTCTCTCAGCCTTGGGTTTATGAGAGAGAGAGAGAGAGAGAGAGAGAGAGAGAGAGAGAGAGAGAGAGCTGGTGACCCCACTGTGTTTGTTGGAAGCCTCTACACTCTGCAAAATTCCAATGACTCAAATGGTTTTACAGATCCCCTGAAGAGCTATTGGCATGCCTGGCCAGAGAGATGGGGCTGGGTCCCCCAGAAAGAACTTTCCTAGCTGTAACTACAAGTGTCATGTGAACTCAAAGAAGGATAAGGTTTAGAGATGGTGATCTTTCTGTTTCCTTGTTCATTTTACGGTCATTTGGCTCAAAGATGTTTACAGGATGGGGGACTCACACGCATACATGTGTGTGTGGAGGGAAGCACAGCCTTCTTGAGAGTGTCTCAAGCACACTTCTGCTGCTGTGGCATCAGCCTTCAGAGCTGTCAAGCCAGGGATGGTTTTCCTCAACTACTGAGCCCCATCTACAACCAGGATATGCAGTGCCATGTCCTTTCGGCCTTGGCACTCTCATAGGACAGGCACACACACGCACACACACACACACACATATACACTACACACTACACACAACACACACACACACACACACGCATATGTATGTATGTATGTATACATGCATACATGCATGCATGTGCAAGCACATGCCTGTGAACACACACACACACACACACACACAGGTCTGCTGCAGTGTGGGGTGACACTGGCCTGTGTATCTCAAGGAAGGCATGAACACCTATCTAAGTATTCCTCCCTGCTTGGTACCAATTCCCTCCCTAAAGAGGCAATTTGCCTTGTGCTCCAGGCTATGTGCTCCTGGTCCTTCTTGTGTAGCCAGGCACAGTCAGGAGCCAGTCAGGGAGCACTGTCGTAGGAGCCACCCATGTGTTCTAGGACCCTGCCAGGGAAGGCCACTGGGTGGTCTCCTGCAGAGTTTCTTACTGTCATTGCACAATGGACATGTCATCCTTGGGTATTAAATGGACACTGTCAAGTACTTTTTTAAACTAGTTTTTAGGGTTTTTTTTAAAAACTCTCTGTTGTTTGTAATATTCTCTTAAAAGCTTGGAAATAAAATTTCTTTCCCTAGCACTCGCATCCCTTTCCTGGGTTTTCTTCCTTTCTCCTTTTCCTCCAATGAGAGCCACTTTTCTTTCTCTGTTCTGTATGTCTTCTTAGCAAGAGTTCTAAGTGTTTTTATTTTGTCTTTGAGAGTACAGAGGCTAGGGCAGACAGGTATGCTGCCGTCAACATGCATCCATGTGTGTATGGATACATAGGTACACATGATGCATGTATGTACATGGTATGTCTATATGTGTGACTGCATCAAAACAATGAGATTCTTGGTTTCTTAACAAATGGATTCCATCCAGTCAAAGCAGGAACTACTCTCAACCCCTCCCCAGGATACAGCCCAAGACTCATACAAGTACTAGTGCTAGAATGACCTCTGATGAGCTCCACCCATTGGGCCCATTTCAGAGAATTGAGAGAATCTGAGGAGCGAGTGTAGGTCCAGGTTTCCTTGAATGTTTTCCTTTGAGGATCAGAGAACAGCACCCAAATCAGAGGTCCCAGAGAAAGCTTGGACAGATCTTGAGTAACAAGGATTGCTCCTCCCTTCATCCTGATCTGTCCCTCCCTCTTTATGATTGACGGACAGCCAGGCAGTATCATAGGTGGGACATGCATCGTGCAGTACTAGTAATTGTAGTTGGATGAGTAGCTGCTGGCAGGAGGTCCCTGGCTTGGGAAGTACTTTGCAAAGATTACTTCTCAAAGACTCTTAGAATCCAGAGGCTTAAAAAACACACACTGAACAATTTAAAACTAGATGAAACCCAAAACTACAAATAAGCAGTCTTGATAAGGGCTGGAGGGGCTGCATCTTGGTTGATAAGGTGCTTATCTAGATGCCTAAATCCTAGGTTCAATCCCCAGCACTGCCTCATCCAGGCATAGCACCACTCTTGCATTCCCAGCACTCAGGAAAGAGGCGGGAGGATCGGGAGGTCAAACTACATAGGGAGTTCAAGGCCCGCTTGGGATACATGAGACACTAAAAACAATAAACAAAAGTTTTTTTAAAAAAATAGAATAAGGGTTTGGGTTCCCAGTGTGGTCCAGAACAGGTGATTTAACTAAAACGTTTATGGAAACTCTTCGTTATGTGGATTATCTTCTTTCAAAATCGTGTTCAAATGTAGTGGACTTGGCACATCATCAGAGCTATGGTAACTACCGTGCTCTTTCTCTGGTGATTCACAGGTCACTTCAGTATCTATTGGTTATTGAGGGACTTAAAAATTGTCATTCTGAATGTGTTGTGCTGAAAAGATGCAATTGATGAGACATTCTAACAGAAGGCTGGACTTTATGGTGTCTTGATGCTACAACAAGCTTTGACTTGTCTTGTTGGTTGCTATATACGCAGAGCCTACAGCAGGTTCTGGCATATTGTGATGGTTAATAGATTTGTCTGAATGAACAAGACATTGCTGGGGGAAGTACAGATACTCACTCCTTCAGTATCTGGGTGACATGCCCCCTCTTCTTTCAACATATACTCTGCCTGCCAGGCCAATCACCAGGTAGAAAGGAAAAGTCAGATTTGACTTTGCCCAAAAGGATGGTAAATTCCTCGTGCTTAGAGTGTAGAACTTATGGGTACCATAAATGGGACATGACACCACCTAACATCTGAAGTTCTTACCATACACGGGGCAGCAAATTAAATGTTTGACATACATCAATCAGTATTAACAACAACCCAATCAAGTAGATGTCATTGTTATCTTCATTCTACAATGCAGGCACTGAGGCACAGAGAAGTTACTTGCCCAAAGCCACCAGCTGGTATTGTCACCTAGGGTCTCTGGCTAAACTGTAAGCACTCCATGTGCTTCCTCCAGCTGGTCAGCAGCATCATAAGAGAAACCTGTACCCAGTGGATGCCGAGGGACCACCATGGTAGATGTCTGTAAGGGAAAATGTGCAGGTTGTGGAAATTGAGGCTAAATAAAAATAAACTTTTCCTCTCTTCTAGGAGGGAAAATGCAGAGTTTATTTTAAAAATCGGTTCCTGGTGTTATCTACACAATATAATTGTTGAATGGGAGCTTGCATATATTAAAGAAGAGGTTATATCTGGGAACTGGCAATGGATATAGTTAAAACACACTTTTATGAGCAAATGACTAGGTTTTATGAAGGTTCTGAAAAAAAATTTACCTATCTGGACCTAGATTTTTGGTTTTAGTTCCCAGTGATTGACAGGGGCAGGCTGAAGTTCCCCGACACTGTCACAACACGTTGGAGGGTGTGTCTTATATGAGAGGAATACTAATCAATGTCCAGTGTTCCCAATTATTATTGGCATAACTATAAAAATAATTCTTTGAGGGAGAATCAAATTTGTTGTCACCTTGGAGCACAGAAACTCTAAAACCACATTTTTTGACACAAATTGTCAACTACTTCACAGACCCTAGCTTACTGCTACCCCTTCGTTTTGCTCTTTGGCACAGATAGGCTACTGGGAGTAGCAGAATGATTTGATAAGAGAGGAATCAACCCCTCAGGATAGCAATGTGCTCCATAAACAGGATCTGTTCTATTGTACAGGAGGGAAGGTAAAGGAAAACATTGAATTTCCCCTTGTCATCTTGTCTCAAATTGCATTAATTATTAGTATCAAACAGTCAAGAAGTATTTTACTCATGAGGGCCTGACCTAGTCTCTTCTCTCACTCTTACAAGCAGAATGATAGATACGGACTTTAAAAAGTTTGTGTGCTGTACACAGTTGAGGGAGGATGGCTCAGATGGTGAGGATCTAGGACTGGCCTCAGCCTGTTTCTGAGCCTAGAGTCTGAGCTGTGTTGTCTGGTACCAGGTGGTAGCTAAGAATACACCGCCCTTCTGCGTGCTTCATCTGACCTCACCCACATCACCTGCACGCTGAAGGCAGCCCATCCTGGAATGAGAAGACACTGGTTTTCTTGGTGCTAAACCTTCAAATGATGGAGCACCAAAGACTTCACATGATTCCTGAACCAAGATTGTTTAGACGCTTCCCTTCCTCATTAATGTACCACTTATAACAACAAACCTCGCCATCACATTTAGTTCCAAACCAGAGCTTAGTAGCCATTTAGGGAAAAGAAAGAGCTGGGGAAGAAGGGGGCTTATAGTTACAGAAGGAATTAGGCACACCCTGTGCCTGTTCCCTTTAAGCCTCATATGACAAAGTCCTAAACTCAAGAGTATCTTCAGTGCCCTCGGTGTTGGTCTCAGCCTGGTCTCTGCTGCTCCAGCTAATGAAGAAAGAGTGTAACCTGGCTTGTGGCTTCAAGGCACAGAACACTGCCAGGAGTCTATGATCCTGAGGGGTTCTCTCTACAAAGAAGAGGTAATCTGTCTTTGTATCTATTAAACTAGAAAGTCATATGTATGCTCAGAATCTGTGTCTAGCAAGTGTCGTTTCTCAACGGAGAAATAATAGAAGTGGATAAATACATGGTGGTTTCCATCTGCCAGACTCCATTGACAAATTCTTAAGTATTCTAGTTGCCCAAATTAGTCACAACAGTTGGAATCCTAGTATCTCCAAGAC